GGGTCAGGAGAGGTCTGCCATGCCATGTGGTCATCTCCGGGGCAGGCGGGAATCAAACTCATGCAGAAGTGGCTTTAGCTTCTCAGTGCTGTGCTTTAACCCGCTGCGCCATCAGGAGGGCCGAGATTAAGTTTTTAAGTATAAATTGTGTAGGGAAAAAACCACTCAAATGAAATAGGTTATTCAAAACTGAGATTACTTAAAATGAATACGGGAAAACAAATACTGATATTTAAAATCTATGGCATACCCCAGTTCACATTTTGATACATGTATGCTCAAAACAAGACTTGTCATTGTTATTTTTAGCAACTCAATCCTTTTAATATAACTACCTTGAAATATTAGTATAATACGTAGCTAGATGGAGATACATTTTTTACTTGAAGACATTTAATCTTTTTTATTCTGTTTATTTTTTACATCATTTTGTGACTTTTTCCATCTCAGTTGTAATCCCCATAAGCTTCCCATCACCAAATCACCCATGCGTCATCACCATAGTCCAGTACACTTCCCTCCCCTCCCCAATTTTGATCCCATTCCCCACCCTACCCCAGTAAAATGTCTCTGGTATAAAGTTGTTCATTATTATTATTTTTCCCCCTGGTCTTTTATGCTCTTACTATGAATGAAACCGTCAGGTATTTTTCTTCTTCTTTCTGGCTTATTTCACTAAGCATGATCCCTTCCAGCTCCATCCATGTTACTGCAAAAGGCATGTGTTTATCTTTTTTGATTGTTGAGTAATACTCCACTGTGTGCATGTACCGGGGTGGGAGGTGGGGTGGGGGGAGATAATAATCTTTTTAATCCAGTCACTTACTTTTGGGCATTTTGGTTGATTCCATGGAAGACATTTTAATTTTTAATACATTAAAAAAATAAGATATAGTCTATTATTAAAATACGATATAGTCTATTATTAAATTACATGTAATAAGTTATCATTTTAAAAGTAAATTCTAGATAGGCCCTCCCTGGTGGTGCAGCGGGTTAAAGCACAGCACAAAGAAGCTTAAACCACTTGCTCATGAGTTCGATTCCCACCTGCCCCGGAGGTGACCGCATGGTGCGGCAGACCTCTCCTGACCCGCCCGCTGCTCCCCTCAGCAGTGTACTTCATCTATCTGCCTGTTCTGCTCCCCGTTCTGTCTCTGGTGAATCCTCTCACCACCCCTGAGCCTCTGGCCTGTACCCAGTTCTGTATCCATAAATAAATAAAACTTTAAAAAAAAAAAAAGTAAATTCTAGATATATTCTGGCATTAAACATGAAACAACATGGTAAATCTGTCATCTCACCCTGCTAGTCTCCAACTAGCCAAGGGGCTTATTATATATTTAGGATGGACTCAGCATCTCCCAAATGTATATAATTATATACACAACCAGATTTCTGTTAAGGTTTATTGTAATTGTTACACGCTATACTATATTGTTATTTTGTCAGTGTTATCAACATATATCAATAATATTACATGATAAAAAGCACAAGTTCACTCATCAATGAAAAGGAAAAGGCATAAATACAATGAAAGCCAACCAAGAAGTGAGTCTAAGAACCTCTTTTTTACCAACAGTGGAGATTACAAGAGTGAAAATGAAAAAATAAAACTGAATTCTCAGTATTAACACAATTCCTAAAATGTGAGCTAATTAAGAGTAACACCAAAAAAGGTGGTGAATCAGTTAACACCAAGACTCCCTGCTCAGCACTCAGCTTTCCCCAAGCGCATTTGCTCATTTCCCTTCCACTGTTCTTAAAACGTCACAGTTGGCTCTGAGCAAAATTGATGTAGTACTTCGCACTGATGGTGGCTGGCGGCTAGGATTCCCCCCTTTTGTGTGCACTGACATCACCTTTGGAAAGCAGTACCAGGAAAGGCTGCAGAAAGAAGAGGGAACCGAGAAGTCCAGGGCATTCAAGAGGACATAGGTTGGGACGTCAAGCATGCTTTTTTTTTGTGTTAAAAAATTTGTTTATCCGTACAGAACTGGGGTACAGGCCAGAGATGCGGAGGGTGAGAGGATTCCCCAGAGACAGAGCAGGGAGCAGAACAGGCAGATCGACGAAGTACACTGCTGAGGGGAGCAGCGGGCGGGTCAGGAGAGGTCTGCCACGCCATGTGGTCTCCTCCCGGGCAGGCAGGATCGAACTCATGCGGAAGTGGCTTTAGCTTCTTAGTGCTGCGCTTTAACCCGCTGCACCCCCAGGGAGGGCCCCGTCAAGGATGCTTTTAAGTTTCTCTACCTCCAACTCGCAATTCTGCTTTCTGCCCTACTTCATCATTGATACTGTGCTGGGCTGTTGTTGCGGATCCAGCACATCCCTTCTCTTCCCCTATAACCACGGGATTATGTATAAATTCCATGTTCTTTTGCCAGAGGTGCCAGCGTGATTCCCCACTGAGGCCCCCTGCCGGAGGCTCCTAGCCGCCACCCTTGTCGCTGGCTGGCGGGGTGAACACCATGGTTCTTCCGGATATTCCTGCACCAGAGTGAGACTGAGACTAAGGGCTGCACAAGGCAATTGTGTTAAGTCTTTTGTTCCACTTCTGAAGTTCCTGACAACATGGATATTTGACCTTCACTTCTCCAGCCTTTGGGATGGTTTTGAAAGCATCTAATCATTTTCTGCTCTCTGCTTTCCTGATAGAAATCTGGTTGATGTTAATCTTATTGTTGATTTGCTCATTCTCTAGTGTTGCCAAAGAATGGAAACCAGTGATGATTAGGATGTGTTCCAAACTTACAGAAGTCATATTTCTTTGCTTTTCTTCATCACTGTGGGCACTTTTCCTGATATTTTGCACACTCTTTCCACCCCAAACACAACAAAAATGAATTAGCACCATTACTTTTAAATATTTTCATTTATTTTAGTTATTATTGTTGTTATTGTATCTTGTTTTACACCAGAATTATGACAAAGGGCAATTAATTTTAGAGAAAGTGAAGAAAGGTAGGAAGGTTGCTTTAATTTTTCCCATATATGACTGGAGGGAAAATTCATACAACCTTCAAGTTTATGAAACAATCGTCGAATCTTTATTAAACTGGCCAATAGAAGGAGGTCGTCCCCACTCAGGTACCGGAGAACTGGAATCTCTTCAGGATGTGGCAGCTTTTTAGCAAAGAGAAAGAGAAAGAGAAGAGTTCAGAGTCCAGTAAGAGACATGGTGACTGCAGAACCCAGGAGGTGGGCGTGAGTGAGTGGAAGCACTGATTGGGGTTGGACCCCTCCTGACTCTAGTTATCTGTGTACAGGGGCTGTGTTGTTACACTAAACTGGATGAGAAATAGGCTTTGAGACCTGCTCTGAGACCTGAGACAAGGCCAGACTAGATCAAGCAGAATTTGGATACTTTTAAATAGTTACACTTTATTCAAGTAGTTTAACCCACAAATACTGAAGGGAGCACAAACCTTCTCCCTTTGCTGGGAAGTACCGAGAAGGGGAGAAGATGGTGAGAGCTAGCCTGGGGCTGCATGATTATCTTTGAGAATGCAGCACCTGAGCTGGGTTTTCAGGTAGGACAGGATAACTAAATCTCCTTTTCTTCTTCCAAAAGCAGCTCCTCCCTCCAGGAGGCTATTCCCCATTAACTTCTGGGAGAACCTGCCCACTGCCATGGATGGCCTCCATGTTTGTGCACAGTAGCTGCTACCTGTGACCTTGTACCTGAGGCAGAGAAATTGACTCATCCATCACTATGGATGAGCCATATCAGGTTTTAACACTGGTAGAGCAGAAAGGTGGATTCTGTTAACTGCTGCACAAAATATCAAGCAAGCATACCAGGTAATCCTGATGTGGAGTTGCAAATTATTAATTCCTTAAATTCAGCTATGCTTTTTCCCAGCAATGTAAGACTTGATGATGAAAAATGAATCCAAAACTATTTGGAAACCATTGAAAGTGTCTATCAGCCAGCTACATTTGACTGACCAGATGCAGAGTGGGAGTTATTCACAGACAGCAGCAGTTCCATGGAACAAGGCCATCAATGTTCAGGATGTGCAGTGGTGACGCTGCAGAGCACTATAGCAGCCAATCCTTCCAGCAAGAACATCAGCATGGAAAGCTGAGCCCTGGAGATCTCTAAAGGGAAGAGCCCGAATGTATTTACTGACTTAAAGTGCACTTTTATGGTTGTCCCCATGTACGGGGTCATTTGGAAAGAGAAGGGACTTCTTACAGCCAGCAACAAAGATGTTAAGCACCCACTAATCTTGGCCTTGTTGAATTCAGTTGGTTACCATCAGTTATCAAAGTGATGTGCTGTCCTGGCCACCAAAGGGACGGTTCTGAACTTGAGAAGGGCAACTGAGCTAAGCCTGCTGCCTGTTCTGCTAAACAGGGCACACTCATCCCTCTTGTGGATGTGACTTGGCATGTTCCTGAACATACTGAGTGAGATGAGGAGAGCTAGTGACTGGGAATGTACTAATTTTGACTCCAGCTCCACTTGGGATGAAACTCCTCCCAAAGGCCCTAGTGCATCTTATGTTGAAACATCTACATGAGGGAAACCGCTGTGGGAGCCATGACTCACTGTAGTTCTGTGCACCCATATTTAAAGGGTCCATATTGGCACAGAATAGCTCAACAAATCACCCAACACTGCCAAATATGTTCCAAGAATAACTTGAAGACTGACTCATACCCTAAAGCCAGTGGGGTTCATCAGCAGATAAGTGTCCTATTGAGGACTGGCAAGTAGACTTTACTCAAATGCCTAGAAACACTGCAACTATAAACATCTACTCATTTTGTTGTGGACACCTTCATAGGATAGGTAGAAATGATGCCCACCAAGACAGTAAAGTCTTCAGAGTTTGCTTAACAGCTGCTAAAGGAGATAAAGCCTCACTATGGACTGCCCAAATTTCCTCAGAGTGACAATGGACCTGCATTTATCTGAAATCACTCAGATAGTAAATAACCCTTTACAGATTAATTGGAAATCACATGCTACATGGAGACCACAATCTTCTGGAAAAACTGAAAAAAAAAAAAAAAAAAAAGAACAATACCAGAAGACGACTTTGGCAAAGCTATGCCAAGAAACATGTCTGCATTGGGATCACATCCATTGCCCACCTTTGGATAAGAGTGGCACCTAGAAATTGGCTACAATTTAATGCCTTTGAAATTGTGTTTGTTTGGAAGACCCTCTCAAGCCTCAGTTTTGAATGTTAGACTGAAAATAGAACAAGACTGCAGGATCTAACTATATGTAAAGCATATCCAGAAGATTTTGGCAGTAACTCACAACTTTGCACACTGTAGAATCTCTATGTCTCTGAATGAATCATTGAATCCTTTCAGACCTGGAGATCAAGGCTTATTCAAGTCCTGGCAGAGTGGAGATGCCTAAGCCCAACTGTTAAACGTTTGGTTCAGCATGACATTTTACTAACCACTCACATTTCTTTAAAGCTTTCCGGCATGATGAGCTCTCCCTGGTGGCACAACAGGTTAAAGCATAGCACTAAGAAGTAACTGCAACTGCTTCAGCATTAGTTCAATCTCCTGCCAGGGCTGACCCACATGGAGCAGCAGACCTCTCCTTTCTCGCCCGCTGCTCCCCTTAGCAGTGTACTTTTCAATCTGCCTGTTCTGCTTCCTACCTCTGGTGAATCCTTTCACAGCCCCTGAACCTCTGGCCTGTCCCCAGTTCTCTATGCATAAATAAATAAATAAATCTTAAAAAAAACAAAAACAAAAACAAAAAACAACTCTTGTGGGCATTAAACCCTGTGTACATCATTCCAGAATTAAGAAAGCACCAGGAGGTGCTGACCCAGAGAGAAACCCTCACTGGTCTTGTGAATCCATTGAGGACCTGAGATATTTGTTAACAACAACAACAAAAAAAGTAGCCCTCCCTGGTGGCACAAGTTAGGATGCAGCACTGCAAGCTGGCCACAGCCGCCTCAGTGCCAGTTCCGTCCCTGCCCCAAACCTCTCCTGACTTGCGTGCTGCTCCCCTTAGCAGTGTACTTCATTTATCTGCCTGTTCTGCTCCCCAATCTGTCTCTGGTGAATCCTCTCACCACCCCTGCACCTCTGGCCTATACCCCAGTTCTGTATGCATAAATAATCTAAAAAAATTTTTTTTTAAAGATTTATTTATTTGTACATACAGAACTGAGGTACAGGCCAGAGGCTCAGGGGCGGTGAGAGGCTTCACCAGAGACAGAGTAGGGAACAGAACAGGCAGATCGACGAAGTACACTGCTGAGGGGAGCAGTGGGCGGGTCAGGAGAGGTCTGCCACGCCATGTGGTCTCCTCCGGGGTAGGCGGGAATTGAACTCATGCGGAAGTGGCTTTAGCTTCTCAGTGCAGTGCTTTAACCCGCTGCGCCACCAGAGAGGGCCCCTAAAAATTTTTTTTAAAAAGAAAAAAGTTAAATGATTTTCCCCCTATTCTATTAGCGACTATAGCTAAATCCAAGATTCCCCAGGATTTACTTCCTGAAATCATGAATGTGGTAGTTGCCCTAACTAAACATTTTCCTTTCAAAGTTTAAGGTTTGTGAAATGGCATCAGGAAACATGCAACTTCTGTTGCAGCACTCCAGTTTTAAATAACAATATTGATTCTGTGAACTTTGGTTTATTTTAACTTTTGAATTGTTTCAATTTTGACTTTTTTTGGGGGGGGTCCCTATGAGTGAAACTGCAGTAGTCTAAGATATCCTATGTGGGATAAGTGATAAGTAAGGTAACTGTGTCTGTATGGGCTCTTTCCCCCTTTGTGTCTAATGGTCTTGTCCTCTAGAGGCTGTAAAATTGCTATAAATGATGCCTGTACCATAGACATTTTGAGCTAGAAGATATAATGGAAACTGGTATAAGATTTTCCAGGAGACATACTTTGACTAAGAGGAAATAATTTGTAATTTAATGGATAATAGGAACTAATTGATAATATAAGAGGTTTTTGAAATATGTGCCTATAGTTGCATTTGGTTATCATTTTTCCTTTCCTATCTGATGTTGAGTCTATAATGCCCTTTTGGTGTGAGGTAAACTGGGAGTTTGGGTAATTTAAATTTTTTTCTTTCTTCTTCTTTTTTTTTTTTTTAAAGAAAAGATTCCAGTCATGAAACCAGAATAAAAGGTCCTGGTTTCACTGTCAACATTGCACTACTGAATTAACTGGACCTTTCACAGAAATTGAATGGTTGTTGCTTGTTTTGGGTTTTGTTTTTATTTATTTTTTTGCTTGTTTTGTTGTCATTTTATAATACTTATGACAAAATTTCCCAGAAACCTAAATTGAAGAAAAAATTTGGCTGTGTTTCATTTGATTGGTCAGAGGAAATTTTATGGAAGCTCAGTAGAGCCCCACTCCATAGAATTCCTCCCATTCCTTATGGTCTTAAAAGACATTAGATAAATTTGACCTATGTGGTATTCACATGGAAAATTGGAACTAAAGGAAGCACTGTCTCTTAGGAATATGTTTAACTTTGCTGTATACATAAAGACTAACATTGTGTTCTAAAATTTATGCAAAACATTTTAAATGTCTACTATGTAAATTTCACTAATTTAGGTTTTTGTTCCAGAATATTGAGTTATAACATTGAATAAATTTCAGTATTATTGTATCAGATTTAATTTTGGTTATTTCAAAGTTTGACATCTATAGAAATTGTTTGTAAAAAAAATTAATGGGAGAAAGATCTTAACTCACTCCAACTGATGGAAATTGAGAGTGAAAATTTCCTACAAAAGACTGAAGAGACTATTGGAAGTAAACATGAATTTTGATCAATTTTTCTTTGATTCAGTAAAGGTTATTTCTGGTATTGTTCTTCCTGTGACTCAAGGAACATTTTCTTATTTTGACTGATCAGGATCTGCAGCAATGTTTTTGTAAGCAAAACTAAATTGTATTTGTTTTTTCTCTCTCCTCAATGCCATCATAGTATGAAAAAATTGCTAATAATTTTTATTACTCATTGCAATGGCCTATTTTTGCATAGTTTCTATAGGGAATTTTGCCTCCTTGAACAAAAGAATTGGAAACATGTGGCCTGATATTGAAATTCTTTCATAAGCTGAATTTGAGCTAAGCTAAGAAGAGGATAATACATTCCTTCTTTTGCAAGGCATCAGAAATCCAACAAAGGCAGGGTATCTTGCCTCCATGCGCAGGACTGGAAAGCCCCAGGAGAGGGAGACATATGAACCTTGAGGAAATTCTAGGTGGAGTCTGGGAAGACTATGGTCTTCATCCTGAAGCCTGTACAGACTGGAATTGAGTGTTCACTCAAATCATATATGAAGGATTCCAACAAAGCCAACTAAATTGCTGCTTGGTTATTCTGCCCTGTGGCTTTATGGTAAAATGGGTTGGAAGCAGTTTAGTTTGCAATAGTATTTTGCTCTACTATTTGGATAGACTTGGGATGATGGCAGAGAGAAAGGGATTTTAAACATGTAGAAGTAATTTTAAGATTTATCTTGGTTTTGTCATTTTCTGAGTTTTTTTCTTTCTGATATTACTTATAATATTGTTTACCTAAGGCCTCCATACCTATATACACCCATACACACACACACACACACACACACACACACACACACTTTTTGCTTTGGACTGACCAACTGTTTTCCAGAAATGAAGGACTTTGTATACTGGTCATCAATAGACAATGCCCAGGATGGTTATCTTTTTAAAGCTGGAAAGGACTACTATCTGAGGCTGTGTCCCAGCACCCACACAGTTGACCTTCATCACTATAGAAATAGTGGCAAATCTGAAACAGAGAAATCATTGGGGTAGCAGTGTGTAATGAATGTTTTCCACCCACTGATGTTTTATGGACTCCTATCCTACCTCCATGCCAATGAGATCCTGGTGCTGAGGACTACAAAACAAATGCCATCATAGCATGAATGTGCCATGACTCTTGATTTCCTGAAGGGAGGAATTACTAAGGGTACCGATATGTAGTCATGTGGGCCTGGAGCCGGGGGTTGGTTTTGTCTGCCCTCAGTATGTATCCGCACCCAAGCTCAGACAGCTAAGGGCTTTCTATTTTAGTACAGAGAAAAAGAAAAAACACAAATCCTAAAACTAAACCCCAAAGCAGCACCACATGGTCAGAGAGTAAACACCCAGTAAATGATAGTTGTATTCAACTCTGAAGTAAAAGGAATTAGAAGCAATTAATAAGGTTACTTTAATCCCATCTGGAACATTTTTGTTACATTCCAAATTTTTAGTGGACAGTACACTGCATGCAAGTATATTCTATAAGTAATAGCACCAAAAACATTGTTACTTTTATTCTAAATGTTCAGAAGTGTTTTAAAAAATGTACCTACCTTCACTTTGGTTCCAACACTGATTCTTGCCTGTTGGCCCATTGCTAGAAAAGTAATTGAAATCTTGTCTTGTTCTAAGATTCGAACTCCAACATAATGGTTCAATGCCAGAAAGACAGGCTTAAATGAAACAAAGGGTAAGGAAGCAACAGAACTCGACCAATTCCAAGCCCTTATTCTGTTGCCAGCTTGATCTGAATATTGACCTCCCAAGATGTTGATGTATACCCTAGGTAGAAGAGAAATTAGAAAATACAAATAGTTACGTTAGAATTCAACCCCAAAATAAGCCCTATCACCTGTTAACCAAAGGGAGTAACAGTTATGCTAACCAACAGCATATGACTATTTATGTCAGGTAACCTTAGGAATGACTACATTCTATATTAATTTAAAGTACTGGATACAATTCAAGACATAATGATTAAAAAAAAAAAGGGTCCATGTGATGAAACTAGTATAGTAAAGGGGTCTGGAAAATTATGTACTGGGAAAAAAGAAGAGAAAGAAAGGAAGATTTAGTTTGAGAAGGAGATGCAGGTGAGTGGGCTAAGCTTAGAATAGAGAGGAAACCAGGACTTAGATTTTTTTTATGTTAAAATGAAGACTAATGGGTGTGAATTCTGGAGAAGGCAAACTGTTCTCAATATAAGAGTGCTTTCTTCATCTTTTTAAATTAATTTGTGTATCTATTTACATTATTCTTCATTTGAAAACAGTACTTACTTCCCACCTCCCCCACTTCACCTGCAGGTCATCACCATAGTCTCCCACATTCTTCCCTACCTCCTTCTGATCCCTTTTTATCCCCCTTCCCTGTAGGATATCTCTGGTTTATAACTGTCTGTTTGTTTTTGTTTTGTTTTGTTTTGTACAAGGGACTGGTTACAAAGATTTACAAAAAGCTCACATAAATCAACAAAAACAAAGCAAACAACCCAGTGAAGAAATGGGCAGAAGAATTTAAAAGACACTTCTCCAAAGAGGAATTGCAAATGGCCAAAAGACAAATGAAAAAATGTTCAACATCCCTTATAATCAGGGAAATGCAAAGCAAGACCACAATGAGATAGTGCCTCACACCAGTGAGAATGGCACATATCAAAAACAAACAAACAAACAAACAAAAAAACTAACAAAAACAAATGTTGTCAAAGATGTGGTAAAAAGGAACTCTCCTACATTACTGGTGTGAAACAAACAAACAAACAAAAAAACTAACAAAAACAAATGTTGTCAAAGATGTGGTAAAAAGGAACTCTCCTACATTACTGGTGTGAATTCAAACTGGCACAACCTGTAAAGCTGTATGGAGATTCCTCAGATTATTAAATATGGAGGTTTCATATGATCCAGCAATTCCACTCCTAGGAATCTACCCAAAGGATACAAAAATCATTAATTCAAAAAAAATACATGCACCCATATGTTTACTGCAGCACTATTGACAACAGAAAAAACCTGGAAACAACCCAAATGCTCAACATTAAATGACAAGATCAAGAAGATGTGGTACTACTCAGCAATCAAAAAAGATAAACTTATGCCATTTGCAGCAACATGGATAGAGCTAGAAGGGATCATGCTCAGTGAAATAAGTCAGAAGGATAAAGAAAAATATCAAATGGCTTCACTTATAGGAGGGATATAAAAGAACCAAATAAGATATAGGGGAAAGATCTGTATTGTTATTACAAGGGTGCTTTCTTCTAATAGTACCCAGCAACTGGGAGCTAGCAATTTCTCCAGGAGGTTTCTCATTAGGGTTTGGATGAGCAGGAGAGGCCCAGGGAAGATTTCTGATATCTCTCTACTGGAGAAGAACACTGTGATAGAGCAGAAGGTGGAACTCAGTCAACCTAATTTCTCAGTATTATAAGTGCCACATTTTACTACATTACATAAAAATTAAGCCTTCCACAGCCTGCAATCAGTGGTAATGATTACTGTTATTTAATTATCTCTTTCAATTATCTCACCTACTTCCAACCTGGATCACCATCCTCTTTTTTTTTTCTTTACAAAAGTTTATTTTTACATCACTTTGTACATTTTTTTTTCCCATCTCAATTGTAATCCCCACGGGTTTCCCATCACCAAGTCACCTGTGTGCCATCACCATAATCCCGTGCACTTCCCTCCCCCCCGCCCCCCGTTTTTGATCCCATTCCCCACTCCACCCCCACAAAATTCTCTCGGGTTGGCTGTTCATTGGTCTTATTATTTTCTCGCCTGGTCCATTATACTCTGCTATGAGCGAAACCATCCGGTATTTTTCTTTCTCTTTCTGGCTTATCTCACTAAGCATGATCTTTTCCAGCTCCATCCAAGTTGCTGCAAAAGACATGTTTCTCTTTTTTGGTTGCTGAGTAATATTCCATTGTATATATGTACCACTTCTTTTTTATCCAGTCATCTACTTTTGGGCATTTGGGTTGCTTCCATGTTTTTCCAATTGTAAATAAAGCAGCAATAAACATGGGGGTACAGGTATCTTTTTCAATCAGTATTTTTGTGTCTTTTGGGTAGATACCTAGGAGTGGGATTGCTGGGTTGTAGGGAAGCTCCATGTTTAGCAGTTTGAGGAACCTCCAAACAGTTTTCCATAGTGGTTGTACTAGTTTGCATTCCCACCAGCAGTGCAGGAGAGTTCCTTTTTCTCCACATCCTCGCCAACATTTGTTGTTGCTAGTTGTTTGAAGATGTGCCATTCTCACTGGGGTGAGGTGGTATCTCATTGTGGTTTTAGTTTGCATCTCCCTTATTACGAGTGATGTTGAACACTTTTTCATATGCTTGTTGGTCATCTGCATTTCCTCTTTGGAGAAGTGTCTTTTTAGCTCTTCTGCCTATTTTTTGATGAGGTTGTTTATTTTTGTTGAGTTTCATCAGATCTCTGTGTATTTTTGTGATTAGTCCTTTATCACTACTTTTGTGTGAGAAAATGTTTTCCCAATTAGTGGGCTGTCTGTTTGTTTTTAGTAATGTCTCTTTTGCTGTACAGAAGCTCTTTGATGTAGTCCCATCTCTTTATCTTTGCCTTCACTATTGTGGCGTTGGGTGCTCTGTCTTTAAAGATGTCACTGAAGTGTATGTCATGTAGTGTTTGACCCATCTTTGCTTCTAGGTATTTTATGGTTTCCGTTCTTATGTCTAGGTCTTTAATCCACTTCGAGTTGATTTTTGTGACTGGAGTGAGGCAGTGATCTAGTTTCATTTTTTTGCATGTAGCTTCCCAGTTTTCCCAGCACCACTTGCTAAACAAAATCTTCTCTGTATCGCTCCAATTTTAGTATATGTGCTGCCGAAGCGAGCACACCATCCCCTTCTTAAGGAGAGAGAACATGTATAGTTTTAGGTACTTAGAAAAGTTGGATTTATCTTATAATGAATCTTTTTTTTTTTTAACAATTCAATGAATATTCTCTAAGGGCTTGCCACAATATGATCTTATTTCCCCAGTATTGACTAGAAGTGTTAACTTAATAGTAAAGCACAAATGAACTTGAATTGATTATCATATTGCAGCTATGAAGGGTTGATTTAGTTTTATCTTGAGTTGTGGGTAAAATAATATTTGGCTAAAATTACCTAGTTTAACCTAGTCATTTAGAAAAATAAAAATTATTTGAGTTTATACACATATATTATGTAGTGATATTGATTCAGGGTGTGCTTTCAAGTCATTTCACTTCTCTCCATAAGGAGAAGATATAAGAGAATTAGAAAGTCATTGTCAGAGGGTCCAGGAGTTTGGTTGGTGGGTAAGGGGACTTCACAGGCAAGGGAAAAGATCTGCAAGTCAATGAATATCTAATAACAATTAAAATAGTGTCCACCTAAAATAAAACAGATTTACTATTGAATCTTGAAGAATTAAATAGAAATTCTCTAATATATATGATGGTTAGG